ACTCATTGGTGGGATTCGACATCAAAGATGCTTATCATCATCTTCGCGTGTGTCGATCGGAGGAATGTTTCCTCCAATTTCGGATGGGAGATGAAGTTTTCGCCTGTCAAGCTCTCCCTTTTGGCCTTTCGTTGGCTCCTTTCTTTTTCACCCATTTGATGCTTGTTGTGGGTCGTTTCTTGAGGTCCCCGGGCAGTTGCCCCAAGGCTGCTCGCCATTTCCGTTTTGGGTGCCTAGCAGGGGATGACTCAATAGCTACATACTTTCACGTGTATACTAGTGAACCGCCAGCCATTTTGTTGGCTTATCTCGATGATTTTTTGGCGGCCATGCATGATGCCGCACGTTTGACTCGATGGTCGAAATTGGTTCGGGGTGTGTTTGCCTCGCTGGGCCTCTAATTCAAGGAGCGGAAGTGTCAATGGACCCCGGTCATGCGCAAGAAGCATTTGGGGGTGATTGTGGACACGGCCCATGGCCGTTTTGAGGTTCCTCCGGACAAGGCCGCGTTGATCGCCACTCAGGCCCGCATTTTGCGATCCAGCCACTGGGTTGTGGCAAGGGATTTGGCACGTTTTTGCGGCCTCGCCATTTCCCTTTATTTGGCTTTTCCTTTGGCACGATTTTTCTTGCAAAGCCTCTACGCGGTTCTTTGCTCCAAGCGCAATTGGCGGGATCGCCTGATCCTCTCCCCCCAAGCCCGGCTGGACTTGGAGGCGTGGGTCAACATCCGCCGCTGCGAAGGCCGTCCACTCAACCCCGACGCAATCCCCTTCGCCGGTACTTTGGCAACGGATGCCAGCCTGACCGGTTGGGGGGCCACCTTTGCTCCCCCGACGAGGTCCCGCCCCCTCCTCGCGAGGGGGTTTTGGGACCATTCCTTAATGCACATCAATGTGCGTGAGATGCAGGCGGTGGAGCGAGCCATTCTCAGCTTTTTTCCGGCTGCTTCCCATGGCCTTCCTTCGAGGCTCAAGCTGCTGGTCGACAACCAGGTGGTCATGTACTGCCTGCGCAGCATGACTACCCATTCCAAGCAGGTCCTCACCCCCCTTCGTCAGCTGCACCGAGTCTGTACGGCGCGCCACCTCCTGCTCGACCCGAACTATATTCGGTTGGAGGACAACGTTATACCGGACAGGCTGTCCCGGGTTCGGGTGGCGGACGACTACCAACTGCACCCGGCCATTTTCAAGCGCCTGACTCAGCGCTTCGGTCGCCGGTCGTGCGACCGCTTTGCTTCCGCGGCGAATTCCCTCTGCCCAAGGTACAACAGCCTGCACGCGGACGTGGGGAGTGCGGGACGGACGCCTTTCTCCAAGACTGGATGGGGGACACCAACTGGTGCAACCCCCCTTGGTGCCTCCTTCCCCGGCTCGTCTCCTTCCTCGCCGCTCGGCCCGCCGTGGAGGCCGTCGTCGTCGCGCCGGATTGGCTGAGCGCGCTTTGGTTTCAGCCGCTCCGGACTCTTGCCGCGGAGGACCTTCTGATTCCCCGCCATCTGGGGATGTTTTGCCCAGGGGATCCGACTCTTCCGGCCCACCTTCCTCCGCCGAAGTGGAACCTTCGGGCATTTCATGTCCGCCCTCGGACGCCTCCCTAGGGGCGGGCGCTCGGTCACCCTCCTGGGAGAATGCGCTTCCCCCCGATGATCCGCTCCCGGTGAAGGCCATGCCGATCGATCACCCCCTCTGCGGGCTGGACGTCGACGGCATGCTGCAATCGGACTGCGCATGGATGCAGTCTCAATTTTTGTCTTTCTACACGGAGTCGACGAGGAGATCCATGCAGGCCAAGTTCGCCAAGTTCCAGGCGTTCTGCGCCTCCGTGGAGCTCCAAGCCCTCCCCGCCCGCCCGGCCACGATCTACCGTTACATCTGGTTTCTGCGGGAGGAGGGCCGGGTGGGCGTCCGCAGCCTCCCGCAGTACCTGGCCGCCATTTCCATGGTGCACCAGGTCGCCGGCCATCTGCAGTTTTCCGCCTTCGACCGGGTGACCCGTTTGCTCACCCGGTCATGGCGTCGTCAATGCCCGGAGCCTGCGGCCTCTCATGCTCCGGTGCCGGCCACCTTGATGCTCCGCATTCTGGAGCGTGGCCTTCACACCGACGACCTCCTCCTGCTGCGGGCGTCGGTTTCCGCCCTGTTGGACTTCGTTTTCTTTAATCGGGCCCAGAGCGGCTATTTCATTCTGTTGGATGACGTGCGGGTGACGGATGGCGTTGTGATCTTCCGGGAGCGCAAGACCAAGCTCAAGCCCGATTCGGACCTGGTTGTCCGCCTCCGTTCCTGGCCTTCGCAGGTCGCCCCCGAGCTTGTGAATTTACTACTGCGTTGGGGCGCCTTTCGGGATCGCGCCTGGGCGGATGCGGGTGGGACGCCGACGCATTTCTACACTCTCCCGGGCGAACGCGACCCGTCCGCCCGCACGGTTTCCTCCTGGTTTCGGGACCTCCTGGCCTCCTCTCCCGACCTGCACCCTGGCGCTTTCGATCACCATGGTCTACGCGCGGGTGGGGCGTCAGCCTGTTTCGCCTTGGAGGTGCCCGAACAGCGCATCCGCCACTGGGGCGACTGGCGGGGCGCTGCCCTCTGGCGGTACATCGATGTGTATCGCATCCCATCAGAGTGGGACTATCGCCTTTTCGGGTGGATGACGATTACCGCCCGGGACTTGCATGACAGGTATGGCCACATCTTCTGCTCCGGAGGAGCGCAGTGTGTTTGAGGGTGACTGGGCACACTAAGTTGTGGGTACCTCGGGTTGTATTGGGACAAACAATGTCGTGTAATATATTGGTCCAGTGTGTGTGTGGACTAGAGGTGGCCACTCAAGATGCCATCCGCTCCGTTAAATCCGGTTCGTTAATTTTTGTCAGCTGTTCGTTAAATTCCGTTACAGAAAAAGGGAGAAAAATTCAGAAAAAAACGAAAAAAATCCAAAAAAATCGAAAAAAAAACCCAAAAAATCACAACAACTGCGGCTAGTTGAAAATCTAGTATGCATAGGTTGAAATAAAATACAAACATGCTCTCTAATAGCGAATTCCATAAACTATAAGTATGAAAAAACCCCAAAAATCCCCCAAAAATCCAAAAATCCGTTAATTTTTGGGTAATTTTTGTCTTTTTTTGTTATTTTCCGTTAATTAACGGATTAATTAACGGAATTAATCTCTGTCCGTTATTAACGGATCCGGGTGGCCACCTCTAGTGTGGACCTGGGTGGGACAAGGAGCCCGGCCCGGCGGAAATGGGATTAACTATCTTGTTAAGTGGTTTCCGCCCAGGGCGACGAGGGGCGGGCGCGCTGGCCCACTTGGGTCAGCGCTGCTTAAAGTACAATGGTTTTGGCGGCCCCTTGGGGTTTCTGCCCCCCTGTACCTTGGATCAGTGGCTGGTCCGTCGCGTTCAAGGAGGGCCAGTGGTTTTTGGCGCCCTTGGGAGCGGCGGGCTTTGGCGGGCGCGAGCGGGGAGGCTACTTAGGCTCACCCCTCGGTCCCCACTTTATCTTGTTTCGCTTCCCGCCCGGCCCCCCCTATTAGGGTGATGTTCGGTTGATTTGGGCAAGTGTGGGAGTTAAGGACGTGGAAATGAGGAGTGGTGGGTCTGACTCAAGGGTTGAGTCTTGTATGGGACTGGCTTAACTACTAGCGAAGCGATTGGGCACACTAAGTTGTGGGTACCTCGGGTTGTATTGGGACAAACAATGTCGTGTAATGTATTGGTCCAGTGTGTGTGTGGACCTGGGTGGGACAAGGAGCCCAGCCCGGCGGAAATGTATTAGCGGCGGAAATGGCGCTCAAACTGGCTGAACCATGCCATCGCAATCGCTGTTTCGGATCCAAATTTGCCAATGGGTCGCAAATACAAACCACTGCAGTGATTTTTTGACAGTAACGTTCGGGCAGCGCACTTCCCCACGAGACTGTCCTTCCAAATGTCCAGTTTCTGTCAACAGCACGCAGCTATTTGAGCACGCTTGAAGATGGCCGTCGTCCACGAGCACCGTGCGCTGGTCAAGAAATGCCGCATTCAACACAATTTGATGCACCGTCTGAATCGCGCTGCACCGTTGAAAATTGTGTGTTGGCTCCTTTACACGCGTTTAAATGGGTACCAGGTCCTGTTTTTCTTGCTGCGCATTTGGCGTGGTTATTAAACCAGCGAAGGTGGCTTGCTAATAATGCCGTGCCGCAGAAATTCGTGGCATGTTGTCCGCTGTTACGCGTAACCCTTCTTCATCGATGAATTGAACACTCGATGATGCGTAATCTTCAACAATAACTTGAAACACTCGAAAATGCGTATTCTTCAACAATAGCTTGAAACACTCGAACGCGGTCACAATCGCATGCTAGCAGAGCCCTTGCGAAGGATGAAGTGCAATGCAGCATGGCAGAGAGCGTCGAATCCTTCTCTTGGCACAGGACTGCCCATGGCGCAGCGGTTCCAGCTTTCTGCGCTCATCACCGACCGCCACTGTGGATAGCAAGGTGACGAACGCCCTCGTCGCGTGGCGCCCATGGATGAACGTGCTGTTGACCAGCTCTGCAGCGTGCTACGCAACCCCTTTGGCGCCATATGAGGATGCAGCATCCCACCCAACAACAATGACCATCGCGGAAGATTGAGGTCTCAATCTTGGATGTGTCTACACAGCCACCAAATTGACAGGTGGGTGAATTGCCACCAACCACCCCACCTGCCTCTGCTCCGCCCCATATCTCAGCGCCAGTCATCTGTGGGCCAAGGGCGCTGGTCAGCCCTTCCGGCTGGTCGAGCCGCAACCCCAGTAGCCAGTGACATGGATAATGGAAAGCAGTTACCACGCGCTTCTGTTCTACAACCCAAAACTCAACATTCGCATTCCTCACCCATCTTCAGCCGACCAATAAAGAAGTCGCTGCCGATCCCGATGCTCTGGGCAGAAAGAATCTTTGCAATTAAAAAGCCGCCACCGGGGCCCCAAAAAGCGCTCCAGGGAGACAAACACACTCCTCACAACAGAACGAGACCGACGTCAGAGGGCTGCAGCTTTTCGACCACCCGCCAATTGAATAGGTAGTACCTAAGGAAGCCGTCCCCCTCGCCGAACTTGAGGTCCTTAAGGAACTGCTGGTTGTGGAGGACGTCCAGAGCGTTGAACACGTCATAACCTTTCCTCCGCGCCTCGATCATGACGTCAGTCATGAGCTGCTGCAGCTGTGTGGCGCCCGGCACGGTGTAGTACATGTACGCGGCCTTGAGCACGCTGTGCTGCGGGTGGCCAAGGATGCTGGAGGGCAAGGTGTAGAAGGAGGCAAAGTCCGTGATGGTGCCATCTGCTCCTTCGACGACGAAGGAGTCGATCACGTCAGCTCGAGGGACCAACCTGCCAAGCGGCACAGATGGAATAATGAGCCCAGCGCCTCCAAGGTCCAAGGGTGGCGCATTGTCACTTGTCGATGCGAGCAAATGGAAGTCTGGCACCAACCTGGCGACAAACGTCGCAAAATGCCCATGGAGTACTACCACTGTTGTACTTTGCTATGTTGCACTCTTGCACATTTCTTTACTTATTACTCAGCGCTTATGTACTGAGCAACCAACAGCTGCCTGTGCTGCTGCAGTGCACCAGCAGCAGAAGATCTGTCTGGGTGTATGTTCGCCCTGACCAGCTGAAGGTCCCTTCCTGGTACTTCGTCGACATTCGCGGGGCGCTGCCCATTCATCCACAGTGTGCTGCAGGGGACTGGGGCCATATCATCACACTGCTCATGTTTATCAACAGCAAAATTGTAGTGGGCAGATTGGGCTATATCAGATATGAAAAGTGTGCTGTTGGTTGATTCTGTGGAATGCTCTTCTTCAATTCTTATCACCAGCATGGAACAAGGCATACCCATGGCATCTCGCAGGCGATGATGAGCATAGCGGCATCCTACAATTGTCCATTTGCGCCCCATGACCTTAGTTCCTCACACTACTCCTGTGCAGTTGGTGGTTTCTTTGTTTCTTCATGAATTGGGGGGTAGGGGATTTTGGTTTCTTTGTTATGGCTATTTCCTTTGCTTCTCTGCAACTTTTGTTGCTCTGGTTCGTTTGCTTTCTAATGTCTTTTTTGTTTTCTTCTTAGAAGCCTCATGTGGGCCTCCAGACTCATTGAGGGCCATTGCTGCCAGTTGCCACAAGCAGGTACATGTTAATATGCTAAAGCGATCTGGCAAACTTGATGTCGCATTGTAAATCTTCTGGGTACAGACAAAGTTGCAGCCAAGTACACTGCATACATGCCCTTGAACATGCATGAAGCCATTTGATCACTTATCAATACCCAAGGCATGTGCATCAGTCTTGAAAGCGCACAGATTGGCTGTTGCTCACCAATGCTTAACCTCCTCCAAAGTCAACTGCGGTGCAAGTTTGAACTGTTCCAGGTACGCAGAGAGAAGATTGAGCACCTCCTGTGAGTCTCCCTCGTGCATTTGTCGAAAGCCAGGGGTCCTTGGACTCTCTGGTAGCCGGTAGAGCTTAATTGTTCGAGCCATGGTCATCCGATGCTGTTGATGAACAGAGGTGTGAACTGTGAGAATACTGAAGCTGAACCAACACAAGTATTTCATGGAGGAAACCAAAACTGGCACCCATGTGGCCCAGAGTCCTGGGGGCCCCACAACGCAATGCTTGGGAAACGAAAGCCAGGCAGCGTGTCCTGTACTCCTGATGCCCAAGACAGGCAAGGACAAACACCATTGTGAAGGTGACCATGCCGCAAGTTTGTGCTGCAGTGCATTATGTGGAGTTGCTCCTTGGCACAACACAAGTGGCTGAGGGAAGTGGTTGCAGCAACAGTGAAGAGGCATTCGCCCACCCTTGACACTCAGTGCGTACCCCTAACTTGGAGAAGCCGACATCAATTAGCTTCTTGGGATTAAGCGACCTGTGCCAGTATCGGCATGTGGCCACTGGCGTGGGCAGGACAACGCCTGCTGTGTAGGCAGCTTGCCAAATATCATGGAGGTTCACCCTTCGCGTGATTTCCTGCAAGGCCATGGCTTAATCAGATATGCTCCAGCCCCACAACAACTTGAACACTCCATGCACTCACATTAATATTCGCTTTTGGCTGCAGATTTTGATTGCTTTACCAAAACAATACGATGTGATTCCACCTTTTGAAGGTATTGGAGGTTTACCAGCAGACTCAACAGAGATGTACCTCAATGCAGTTCTTTTGTTTCAAAGTATAGCACTGCATTCGAGCTTAGGTACCAGTCCTGTGCCAACAGATGTGACTTGGGCGCTTCAGTGTTGGGAGTCTTTACCATGCACTTATTGAAAGCACCATTATGAGAATCCGCCCACATCCTCCTGTTATTCAAATCGAGCCAAACATCGATCCCATCATCAGATGAGCAGCCACGATTCCCATGCGCTTCACACCCCCCACCCCACCCAGCCACCCACCAACACCCACCCACAAACCCATACACCAGGGCTTGCAAGAGAGACAGACATCAGGACATGAACGCGCAATCATCACTGGATGAACACACTTGCCTCACCAAGCAAGATCAGGTGCTGCATAAGATCAGCCCACACTTTGGCGGACTGCCCACCTTTATCAGGACTGGCGCAAGGCGCTTTGCTCGAAGCTTCTTGTGGACACACAGGAAATTGATCTCCACCATACGCAGGACCTGTTCCTTCACCCGTATGGTCGCAGGGATGGCCGTGATGAACCCAACAAGTTTTTTGTTGTGAGACACACGTACCCCAGCAAGCCACTCTTGTTGAGACCCAGGTGGCATGAGAGCCCACTTGAGGAAACCAGCTGAGTAGTCGAACCTGTACCATGGCAGGCATGAAATGTTCTCACCATGCATTGTAACTGAGGCATGGCATATGCACTGTCCATCAGTACAACGGCCAAAGCTGCAGCCATTGCGCTGTCCCAAGAACATATGTGATGATGACACATTGAATGGCAACTTGTAACAAGGCAACACTGAAACGGATGTTGGCATCACTAAATTTACCCGTTGATGCAGGATTTGCTGATCCTTGGAACAGCCAGGTCCCCAAAGCACTGGAGCATGTCTCAATAGCCAGGCACATTGGGGCAAACGTGCATATCAGATGTTGTTGATGGCTTGGGGCATTCCACACTCACCTGAACATGTTGTCATCATCTTCCACATAGTTGGTTGTCAGAAGGTTGTAGACCTGCAACAGCACAGCAAAGTATCCAGGACCTGTTCAGGACAGGCAATCCACAATGTGTGGCTCCTGGCCACAGTTCTGTTCCCTGAGACAATGCAGCAACAGCTGCTTGTAGACTGTTGGTCGTTGCCATAGTGCAATTCCCAGCAACATAACAGAAAAATCTCTGGGCAGCGCTCCAATGGGTTCCTCAGGAAGCCACACTGCCACCTGTGAGTTCTGAGGGACCCGAAACCACTAATCACAGCTGGAAGCAGTATCTGCTGTGATGAGCAGTCAGTGGTTGGCACCACAGCCACAAAAAGGAGAAAAGGAAACAACAGAATAAAGGACTCTCCTTTGGGGACACAGCCAATATGCTGAGAAGGCCACTGCAAGTCAACTGGGTCACTTGTGTTCCTGCGATCCACCTCTTGTTCCTTTCATGCCTCATAACACACATATGCACCCTGTTGGACAACTGTGGCATGCATAAGGCAAAAGACACATTGCAGAAAGACATGGGAAATGGCACATAAAATCATGAGCAGCACAATGTACCCACAGGAGCACCAATGTACTGAGGATGGATTGTAGCAATTAAAACGAGCTTGACTTTTTGATCAGCAGATTTTCTTTGGTTGGATGCCACGCAAATGCAGGAGGGTGTTTGGAGGCAATCACTCTTGCCCAAGATGCCCATTCCATGCTCATGCACACAGGCTTTGCCAGTTCTTTTCAAACAGATGTGAAACTGGATGGAACAACAGGACACAACATCCACACAATGTGTTGCCTGCACACACAGTCTCAGTGCCCCTGCTGATGGCACAGCTCTTCAAACATCGACTTGGGTCCATGAATTGCAGAGTTCCAAAGAACCCAGCTGTGCAAGACCAAGTCACCCAAACGAACCTCTTGGACGACCTTGTCATCAGAGAAGTCGCAGGTGCACCATTCGTATCTGAAACAGCAGACATATGTTGTTGGATACAGAGCAGACTCTTTTCAAAGAAGCATTGTCGACTGTTAATGCTGTCTCTTTCATTCTATTTGGCCACATAGACAAGTCAACGGCGCCAGTAGGCAAATGAATGGCACAAACATTGAGAGCTAATTGCAAGCATGGTGTATGCCAGATGCGCATTGGTATGCAATAGAGTGCAAGGCATTTGCAGCCATTGTTGGCAGGCAGAACAAATGCGCACAAGCATGGCCAGACAAGATTCAATGAGGTAGTAACCCATTCAGCCTCAGCCAACACATACAACATTGCAAGCAGCCAACATCAACGGGTGAGAAATCAGGACAACATACTCCAGACACCACAGAGAGAATCTCATAAAGACAGATAGCAGGGCCCATCTCCTTAAACGGCAGTGCCGATCGCCTTAAGCGCGCAATGCTTTTGCTTTCAATGTCTTTCCGATGACTATCAACACTTCAAAGCAGTTCCCATTATCGCATGTTGCACAAAAGCTGCATTGCGTGCCCAGAAATTCATGAAGCAGTGGCCCACCCTGCTGGCAACTTGTAGGGCTCCTTTTGAACTTCATCCACTGTCTTCTCGCCCTCGATGGATCCATCTTCTGTCTGAACAGCAGCAGGGCGCGTCAACAGAAAACAATGGACAATACGCTCGAGTCTGGACCGTTGGTGCAGGGGAAAGCAAGCTGAATATGTGCACAATCTGACTGGTGAACTGAACACACATTCGCCCCATTCCCCGTGGAGAAATATGCAGTGAAGTGGCGCATCGCATTTGCGGCCCGTCAGCACATCAATCCAAGGAACAGCACAGTCCACAGCCGCGTTCCCAAGTCCAAATCATGGGTGGGATCTGCAGGTGGCACGGGCAGGAGCGAAACACGGACAAATTCTTGCAACACGTCCACCCTCCCAGCGCGCCAAATGCACTGCCAAGCCGTTGCCAAAGGCACGCCGCCACGGCGCGGCGCGCCAGCGTCCGGCGACGCCACACCCCCCCCCTACTGCGACGGGTGTCCAATCGGATTTCCGGCGCACGACTCCATCCGCCCACCGGAGTGGATCCCGGGTCGTCATCGAACTGCGCCACGGGCTGCGAGCCCCAGAAGGTGTAGTTCCGCTTGGGCTGCCGCTTCTGGTTGGGCGCTGCCGTCCGCACGGACAGAAAGTCGAAGAGCTCACGGATCTCCGCCGCCTGGCTGGACCCCTCGCCGCGGTGCTCGACGGCGCGGCTCTCATCGCGCCCCTCGTCGGGGCTGCCGCCGCCGCTGCCGCTGGCCCCCTCGTCCTCGCCCATCGACAGCACAACCGGCCAGCACCAGGCCGGAAGCGGGAGGGGGGGGGCCGGGGGGGATGATCACAACCGATCGGAGCGCGATGCCCAATGGCAGGCAACCTGGGCGCCTGAGGGCGAATCGCGGCTGGAGGAGTGTGCCTGAAGAGGCCCAGGACGCCGGTCAGATCGACGGTGCGGGGGCGCTGCCTGCTGGGTGCTCCCCCCGTGTCCGTGCCTGGCAACCCGCCCTTGGCGTGCTGCCTCCGGCCCTAAAAATGTGGCTCCTTTTCCATGGAAAACGATGTAGGGAGGAGCGCTTGACTGTGCGGCGCGCGATTGTGGGCGTGCGTTGTCCGTCCGTTCCCGTTCCTGTGCGTTCCTGAGGCCTCGAAGCAGACAAACAGGCAAGGGAAACGCTGTGTAGGGAGGCGTGGTGGCGTGGCAAGAGGCAGGGCGGCCACGCGCAGTTGGCGGCGCTTCCAGCTGACGCCTTCGCGCCCGCGCCGGGCCCAATGTACAGAGCTCTGGGTGGAGAGTTGCGCCACACCTGGCGACTACGCGGGCGCCGCGAGGCCCCCCAGAAGGATGCGCTCGTGGACCTTGCCCGCCGCCTGTGGCTGTGGGGTGCCGGCGATTCCGGGGCGTCTGAAGCGGGCCCCTCCGTCACCCGTGTCGCGTTCGATGCCAGGCAATGGGTCCACTCCGGCCTCAGGGCTTCATCAGGCCTTGCGTCCCCGCACCGGCCGACAGGGGGCGAGGGGAGCAACGCCGAGCTGAAGCGGGGGCCGGCGCGGCGAGGCGTCGCGGGCAGCGCCGCATCATTGGGGGAGCCGGCCGCGCAGCAATCTGAATCGGATGCCGCTGGGGATGGCCTGGGCAGCTCGGAGGACTGCCTCGGCGCCGAGCTGACCCCCACCGCGGTGGTCGAGCAGCTGGACAGGTTCATCGTGGGCCAGGCGGACGCCAAGCGCTCCGTGGCGATCGCCCTGCGCAACCGCTGGCGGCGGCACAAGATCAGCGCGCCGCTCAACCAGGAGATCGTGCCCAAGAACATCCTGATGATCGGCCCCACAGGCTGCGGCAAGACCGAGATCGCCCGGCGGCTGGCCAGACTGGCAAACGCGCCGTTCGTAAAGGTGGAGGCCACGAAGTTCACGGAGGTGGGGTTCCACGGGAGGGACGTGGATCAGATAATCAGGGACCTGGTGGACAACGCGGTGGTGTTGATGAAGTCCAAGCTGAGGCAGAAGCTGTCGGCGGAGGTGGCCAAATCCGTGGAGGACAGGATCCTGGAGAAGCTGGTGGGGCCGTCGCAGGACGACTCGCGGGACAAGAAGGCCTTTCTGGACCTGCTGAGGAAGGGCGCCTGCGACGACCAGGAGATCGAGTTCGAGGTGCCCAGCGGCTCGGGGAGGCTGGCGATTGACGGCCCGCTGGCCATTGGCGCCATGCCGGAGTTCTTCTTGAAGGTGAGGGGCGTGGAGCTCCTATGAGGCCTCTTTCTTCAAGTGAAAAGAAATATCTACGTTGCCGAAATGGAAGCTGGATGCAAAGTTCATCTCTGGGGATTTCCATCGGCACACAATAAAGAATCTTGCTGAGGAGGGGAGCAATTTCATGCACTGTTGTGCATCTCTGTTGGATAACCTTTGCATCAAATTTCGCTGGCATGATTGCCACAATTGGCAAACATGCCTTGGTCTCAGCGATGTTGCTCACCTGGACTGTCTGCATGTTCTCTTGTGTCTACAGATGAGACAAGTGCTGCATTTCATGGCACAGGTACCAGGCTTTCGAACCACAAAGGGCATAGTTGTGTGTGTGGCAGCGACGATCTTTAAAGGTGGCGATGAGTTCTGAGTAACACCCACTTTGACAGACTGTTATGTTCTGTGCAAGGTAGACAAGATGATCCATGCACACAGGGCCGACAAACGCAAAATGAAGGTCTCTGAGGTGCGGCCCATGATTGAGGAACAGGAATTTGATCGCCTTCTACCCCACGATGTGCTGCATCGCGAAGCCATCAAAGCTGTAGAGCAGGATGGGATCGTGTTCATTGATGAGGTTGACAAAATCGTTGTCAACAGGGAGCACTACCATGGCGCAGACGCCAGCTCGGAGGGCGTCCAGCGTGACCTGCTGCCTATCATAGAGGGCTCGATTGTCAACACGAAGTACGGAAACGTGAGCACAGACCACATATTGTTCATCTGCAGTGGGGCCTTTCACCAATGCAAGCCATCAGACATGTTAGCTGAGCTTCAAGGACGCCTGCCCATTCGAGTCGAGTTGAAGGTGCGTGGTTTTCCTGTATGGAAAAGCAGTCAGCCATGGTTTGCGTGCCTGAGTGAACAATACTCTTGCATTTGCATGCATCAGAATAGGATAACAAAGCAGAATCCCATTGTCTGTTGCTGCTGCAGCACACACGTTGTTGGCCTGTCCTGTGTCTCTAAAAGGCATACCGTATTTACCCGGTATTAGTAGGCACCCCCTATTAGTATCCACCCCCCTCTTTGGGGGTCGAACCCACCTTAGTATCCATGACCCGGTGTTAGTATCCAACCCCAAACCTCAACAGAGCAGAAACGACGGAAGGCGCGGATGGTGGCAAGGGAAGTCGGGGGCTGGTGTTGGACCTCGTTGCCCAGTCTGGACCAAACGGCGTTCCCTGCGATTCGCACATCGACGGGGACGATCGGGTCGGGGTGGATGTTGTCGAGGGAGATTTTGGAGGGGTTCCTGCAAAAAGCCGCGCGGTCGACTGGCCGCCATTGGCGTTCTCAGCGCAGGGTCGCAAGGCAGCGACCGACGCAGCAAGGCCCGATGATAGAAGCGGTCGAGAATTCAAAGCCGCCCTAGTTTCTGAATTGAGCCAACCTGCTCCCCGGCCGGCCAGAGTAGGTTCCGGCCTGGCGCTTGGCACGAGTCCCCCCAATGCCCAGCGCCAGGAATGGGCAGGCGACGGCATTGGTCGGGGCAACTGCCGTTGCGAGACCCCGCCTTGCAAAACTGGCTGTAAAATGCTGCGAAGGTGGGGCAAAACACATCTCGCTGGCTACCAAGCCACAGACCCAGCCGCCATCAGCGGGGGAAAACGCCGCGTGTCGAGCATCGTCGCGACGTGGTGCCCCAGCGAGTCGAGACCCATGTCAGGCCTTGTTCTTTGCATTGCAGAGGCAAATGCGCCTGGAGCATTCCAGCGAACCCCTGACGGCCCCAATCGCCAGTCGCCACCAGCTGGTGCAGCCCCAAGTCAAGGCCGCCAGGGCTGATAACATTCCGCACTAGCATCGCCATTTTTGTCCATTTTTGGGTATTTCACGGCCTATTTGTCAAAATTTTTTTTGTCTACTCTTTGGAATCAGGGGTCCAAACCGCGTTAGTATACATGACCCGCTATTAGTATCCACAACTCTTTTGGGGGGTCCAATACATGCCTACTAATACCGGGTAAATACGGTATGTCCATTCAGCTTCCCCGGCTTGTATGACTAGTTCAAGCATGCTAATTGTGCATCAATCGCTTTTCTTTCAACCACACAAGACGCATGATTTGGTCAAGCACTTGGCCAGCATGGGACACTAAAATGTGTATCGATTACTCACATCGCCTAACCACCACACCAGTGGTAAGGGCCCCACCTCATGTTCTACGCAGCCTGGCATTGGTGTTGCACTGAGTGTTGATCGGTGTTCATTGTGCAGGGACTGACGAAAAACGACTTCTACCGGATCCTGACGGAGCCTGAAATGAACATGATCAAACAGCAGAAGGCCCTGCTGGAAACGGAGGGCGTCCAGCTGCGCTTCACCGACGCGGCGATCTGGGAGATTGCGCGTGTGGCCGAGGAGGTGAATCGAACGGTTCACAACATCGGCGCTCGGCGGCTGCACACCGTCCTGGAGCGCATCTTGGAGGACATCAGCTTCCAGGCACCAGAGAAGGCCCAGCAGGCCAGAGAGGCAGGAAAGGATGCCTACCAGCATGTTGTGGAGGACCGGGACGTGACGACCTGCGTGGGCAACCTTGTGAAGAAAGTCGACCTTTCAAAATACGTCCTGTAGGAAAGACCTCAGGGAGCATTGGGCAAGGGACAGGAACCATAGGTTTTTGGGAGCAAACGCCTGGGGAGGCCGACGCCTATTAGATGCCGGGGCAGTGTTGGTCATATTGATAGGTGTAATCTTGGCAGTCACGCCTCGCACACATGGTGGCGTCGTGGAGCGGCGCCTATGGCTGGCTGCTGACTCGTGTATAACAGGCTGCACGTTGTAACAGTAGATCACAGTGCGTTCTGACAGCGTTGGCGCCCTGCGGGCGGCAGAACTGTGAATGGGTACCTATGCACCGTGCAGGTCGCATTCCCCTTGGATATCACACACAGTGTCACCCTCTCAGTGGTAGCCCTACGTGGTAATGCGCAACAGGTTCCCGTTGGGCGCCTGGTCATTTTGAATGGCGTCTGTATCAGAGTGTCATTGCATCAGATGATACCACGGTGGTGCGGTACATAATGTACTAGCCCAACAACCAACACAGTCATTCAGCCGAGGCGTGCATCAGGCTGAAAGCTCGCCGCACTTCTGTCGAAGCAAGACTTTGGTCTTGGGGCTCCACGAAGACTGTGGCCCATTGCACCGTGGTGTTCCAAGCATGAAAGCAGGATCTGTCCCTCTGCCGCCGACAGTTGGGATCTGTAGCTTTAAAAATAGGCACAGACATGCCACGTTCAACTGCATGGCATCCTGCCGGGAAAGGGCCGCCGTCCATGTCCCATTCCCACTCAGCGGCAGCTTCCAGCAGCACCCGTCCAGCAATTAATGGCAGCCATCACACACCCATATACACAATCCCAGGCCCCAGCTCCAGCCCCAGCCCCTTCCGCTCGAACCCACATGCAGCTCCGCACTGCTCTCTCTGCGTCGAGGCCTCCCAGCGCGCAGTCTCCATCCGATGGTCACCTGCTCCTGATCAGACACCCCCCAACAAATCCCCGCCTACACCACTTAGGCACCCACTCATGTACACTGCGCTTCCAAACGCCCTACCCCGTTGTCTTGAGACGACTATCTGAACAGGGGCCATGGCAACAGCGACTGGCCGGTTGTGCGACCGCTGCCGACTGGGCTCCCCGTGGCTAAAGAATGGCTCACTGCGACTGTGATTCGGACCGCGGGGCCATGTGCTCCACAAACTCGTCTATCAGGTATGGCCACGCACCGCTGGGGTCGAAGTTTGAGAAGTCGGGAGCCACGGTCTGGCAGCACAAGATAACAAAAACAAAGCGTGAGTATGAATCTGAAATCGTGAATAAGTGGAGAATGAAATGCAAGTGCTCTGTTTGTATTCAGTCAGGTGAAAGCAGCATTGGTCATTAGGATGTCCTGGACTAACTGGTTGTCGTTGAAGAGAGGAAGCAGTTTGGTGTAATATAAGGCAACCATTTCCCCAGGCACAAATGAGACTCTACATTCTATACAGATTGAGCTTCCCAACGCAGCAGACATAAGCTCACAACAGAGGTTTCATTGGAGAGCAAGGGCTCCTATCACCAGCGCCTTCGTGAATCAATGTTCCTTCAGCAGGATTGAACCATGCTGTAAAATGGGCAACCCAGACTGCTGGCAGACCCACCCTTTTGAAGTCCAGGAGCTGAACCCAGGTGTCTTTCGAGATGGCCCTGTTGTGGTGGGTCTGCAGAAACTCTATCCACTTGTCCAGAAGCTCCCAGTGTTGCGAGTTGATGAACAACAGCTGCCACATGGCGATGGCCATGGGCTGATGCACGCATTTCTGCCCTTTCTGCAGAACCAGCACCAGAACGGGTCACAAACTGGGACAACACACAGGGCAACTGCATTCTCCATCCAATTGGTTGCTCCAGTAGATCCACAGTGCAGGCCATGCTCTGGTGTGCAGCTTGTCCCAATGGTTGTGATGTGTGGAGCACGCCCAAACAGTACTGCACGGCCAAAGAGCCCCCTGCATTCGCCATGAACAGGCCAATACTGTTCCCACCCACCAGTGAAGATTGTATCAGCATAGAAGGTGACACGCTGTGCAATGGACACATCCCTCCTTGCAAAAATACATTTATGTTGTTCCATTTTGAGATAATACTCCATCAGGGAGTCTGTGGATACAACATGAAAAAGGTGTGAAAGATAACATCAACACATGGTGATGTGGACAAACAAATGAATAATTTTCTCTTGCCGGCAAGCCAATGCATACATCAGCATAGCAATCATATCAGGCGAATACAATACTGCTCCAACAGGCCTGCACTTTGGACGCAAGTGTTGTAGAAGGAACTCTAAAGCATCAATCTGCTGTACACCTGCCAGACAGCAACGTCCCGCCAAACAATCCACTCGCTGGAAAAGTGGTCGACCGTGGTGCCCCACCTCTCTTGCAAACATGTATGCGTAGTCGTAGATCTTTGGGAACGTCTCAGCATCGTTCAGCTCTGCTCGCAGGTCTGGCAACCGTTTCCGCAGCTTTTCGATTGAGTCACAGCCCAACTGCATCAGACCATCAACGAACTCCTCCTTCTTGAACTCGCTCATCACCTCTGCATTCATGTGCCAGCTCAACACCAGCTGCACAAACAAAGGCCATCAGTTTTCTGTTCGCTGGGAACACGATGTGGTTCGCAACAATGCCACACAGCCCTGGAACTCCAAAAAAGTGCCGATGTTATGTACATTAAATAATCACAATGTGCGCATCGCTGTGGGGTCAGTTCTTTGTGTGCCCCACCAACAATAGAGTTACAGAGACCTCTTTTCATGGGGGCCTACACTGGAGCTGTTAGTGCACTGCATCGTCTACAATATCAGAAACAGCAAAGCACCACTTGCAATGCAAGAACTGTCAACAAGTGAGTTATGCCTGAGAGCCATTGCTGTTGGTCGTCAGTCTGAGGCCAATCAATGTATCCTAATGGCAGGGCCCCATTCCACGTGCTATTGAGCCCAGTATCGATCGTACACAAATACAGATGCTTATGCAGATCCATTGCAATCCACAAGACTGTTGAGTGTCTGTTTTGGCTGGCAAAGGATTCCCAAGTCCCCAGACAAAGTGGACACCATAACAGATGTCTAGAGCTTCATGAGCAAACAGCTCTCCTTTCTGCCATTCTTGCTGGTGTTCAGGCAGACAGTGGTAAACGGGTGCAATTCAGTTCCATGGTGCCATCTTCCAGTCACATTTAGAGGTTTAGATTCAACGTTTGCAGACAATGCAGAGACTAGACAGCGACACACTGCTCTTGATGTCAGATCTCCCTGTAAACTGACCAACAATAACAGGCCGCACCACAGCTGCAAATCAGCCTGTAGGCAGTCCTAATTGCCCAAGATAGCCAGTAACAGACTGTGTGTTCCTGTGAGGTTTCACTCATGCCAGTGGTTGCCCCAGCAGGCTGACTCGAATTCCACTCACCAATAAGCGGATTGAAAACAGCATGGACACCGGAATCGCAAGGACTCAAGGCCACCAGAAACAAACAACGTTGCAGATTTCTTTGCAAGCACTAAGCATGTTGTACCTTGAGCACACCCCTCCTAGGCAAGAGACGTGGAGTGAGACTCATGCAACGAGATAACAGAGAAGACCCCAAGAACTTAACGATCGGAGCATTCCGATGCTGCTCACCAGAGCCACATCTGTAGGGTCCACTTGCAAGTCCTCACAGAACAGACTGATGCCTTCTGCCAACATTGTGTCTCCCTGCGCATCTGCATCATTACAACAGGAAGCACTGAGTACTGGCCACAGGCACATGCCACATACCCCCTCTCTGCCAATAACATTTGTGTTTGCTTTGATCTCAGCATAATTTAGGTTACAATTTCAACCGTCAGACAAACAGGTGAGGTGGCCACCACAAACCCCTGCCCCGTTTTCTACACCCTGTGCCAAAACTACAGAGGGCTAGTTTCATTCTTCAAGCACTATCCTTTTCAACAGATGAGTTGTTTACTGAATGCTCAGGGTGGCCTGCCAAGACAACTGAATCCCACTTGACAGAACACCAGCGGCCAGGTATGCTAAGGCTATGGATATATTGCATCCGACAGACGATGATGGGCACATCAACGTCTACACAATGTTAGTTCTTTTCTCGCACAATCAAACGACCACACACTCAAGGCAGTTGGTCAAAGGGCAACCACTCCATCCTTGGGTCCATTTTGAGAGGTTGGATCCTTTTAGTCCACTCCCAACTTGGCATGGCACGTTGCACCAGTGATCGTTTGCCCACAAATGGTGCAGCAAGGAACCAAGGACACCAAAACATCAGATTCAGGCATTGCACAGTGACATGAAACGTCTCCGCTACAAGCGTGTTGGCAACGGTTTGCCACATCAAACAGTTCCAATCAGATCGACTTTCAATCGGGCATTGGCAGGGCGACCCAGCCAGCTGGGAACCGCTGCCCAACTGCCAAACTACTTGTTCAGCTGGGTCGTCCACAATGCCCTCATATATAGGCAGAGCCTGCTCCTCGGGCCAACACCTCGCAGCCACTGTTCTGGAGCTCCAGTTGCGCATGAAGGAGACGTCACACCCTCCATCCTCGCGACACCACGTAATCCGATTACCACCACACTCACCTCTGTATTTCGCCCACAGCCTCTCAATCGCCTTCCTGTCAATCTTGGGGGCCGGCATGGCGGGCGGGCTGGTGTAATAGAAGTCGATCGCGTTCTGAAGGTTCCAGCTCTCGGCCCTCAGATATTCAATGGCAGTCTTCTCCCTGCGCGGTGGGCACGAAGTCAGTTCTCACACACACCCCGTCATTGTACGCAGAGAGGCTAAAAAAGGGGGGCAGCGGAGTTGTGGGTCAAAGACAGTGTTCACTGAGTGTCCGACTGTTCGAGTCTCCTGCGCCGGTTAGCAAGCCAATTCAGAAGTCTCCCAGCGCAGCAGGCGACTCACGATACGATGAACCCACCCCGGCAAGCTGCCGTGCTGCGATTGTGACAAAATCGCCCGCGCCCGGTCCAGGGAGTGCAATGCGGAACCGCAAGCCCGCGCAGTGCAGCTCTCCGTTTCGCATCGGCGCCAGGGGCCCGGGCTCCGCGCCTTGGCCAAAATCCGCTGCGGGCAACCGCCGGACAGCCGCTGGCAGCGCGGACACCACCCGCGAGCGCGGTCAGCCAGGATCGCCATTCACGAGGCTCCTTCGCCCAATGAAGGGGCCATCGGGACTCACGTGGCGCCGGTGATCGTCCGAAACTGCTTCACCTCCTCCTTCTGCGCCCGATTGAGCCGAATCTGCGGCATGGCTGCGGGGCGGTCAATCGAGGGACCGGGGCGTCGGCTGCGCAGCCAGAGGGTCCCCAGCGGTCCTGGCGGCTATCGGGGCATCGAGCGCCCCCACGAGGGGCCGCCGGCAGGCCGGGGAACCGAGCTGGGCGCTGGCCGCTGCGGTCGGTCAGGCGGGCACGTGGGCGGTGGTGGCTTCTGGATGGTCTAGTGGGGCGAAACGCTTTTTTCCGGGGAGCCTTGGGCGGGCTGTTCGGTACGAGACCACGTGTACCGCGGGCAGCCAGGTCACTGCGTCGCTTTTCTCTCGATTCATGGATCGTTGCATGTGGGGGGGGAGGGGGGAACCGATCCCTGTTTGGCGACCTGTCCGGGTTAAGCGACCCACTGAACGGCTTGTCGCCGTTCTCGCAGTGCTTTATTTCACTGCGACAGGCCCCAGCGCCCGCGGCGCTGCGACGAAGTCGCTGGCACCAAAAGCCAGTGTGGGCCCGGTAGGCCGGGTGTAGCGTGTACTCCCTGCACCGGCGGCCAGGGTACCCCTCATACTGGCAGCCAGGGTAACCCCTACACCGGTAGCCAGTGTACCCCTTACACTGGCTGCGCCGGGTACCCCCCTCAACCTGGTGGCCAGGGTGCCCCCCTACAACGGCATGTAGGATGAAGAGAAT